GCATCCAGAGTGACGGCGATCGGGCGGGCTAATTTCGCCTCCGACCAAGTTTTCCCGGGGGATATCCTGCGTTCCTCGGTCGCATCCTTCCATGCACAGGTCCCCTGGTTCGGCGGATCGCCGGAAGTTCTCCCTACCGTACGATAGGTTTTTCTCGCGAGGGAAGGGCTCTGATTGCGAGTCTTGATCGCATCGGGCCGCACATTCATTGGGGCCCGAGGAGATTTTGGGCCGAACCCATATTGGGTTACTCCGTCTGCGGGTCTTGTGATGAGTCGAAGATTCAAATAGCGAAATATGGTCACGGAGACGAGGGGGGTTCCGCGGGAAGGTCCCCTCGAAGGAACCTTCCACATCCCTGGGCCCGATGGGAGGCCGCAATCGAAGAGGCCGGGGTGCTCTGTCTCCATGCGATAGACGGATAAGGACTGTTCTACAGACACATGGAGGTATGTACATTGCGAGTCTCTTTGCGGAGCCAACACCGCGGACGAGCACAGGAAGCATCCAGTGGGAATGGAAAATCATCAAAAGCTGAAGGCTGAAATATCAATTCCAGTCTTCGGTATCGCGTCCGTGAGAGCCTGTTACAAAACACTGCGACGATTTGTGAGAAATCAATTCCCATCGAAGCCGTGAAAGACCGGAGAAGCTCAGCAAAGGATAGCTCAGATTAAGCCTGGAACAGCACCGCGCCATGATCTGGCCTGCGGGTAGAAGGTTCGGCGCCGGGGTTTCCTTTTTTCTGACGGGCGGGAGGTCACTCACAATTGGACAAGCCCACAGCCGTCAAATGAAAAGAATTCGGTCTTCTGAAGCTGCGACGTCGTTACACCTCATCAAACACTATCACAATACGTAATCCGGAATGGTCAAGAACCGTGTCATCGATCACCAAGAAAGCTGTGAGAGTCGCTGCACTGCGCCGACGGCTGCAGAATCTCATGAACTCTTCCTTTCTTGCATGGGAGTTTCCACGACCCTTCCTGGGGCATTCATTCCGGGGTTCGAATGAGATCCGCTCAGGAGAATCGCTCGATTCACGTTTTCCTCGGAGTGCGGCTGATTCAAATGTTTCGAGAACCTGATTTTCTGGGGAAAGAGACAGATACGTACCTCCGGTCAAGAAACGCGAACCTTCTCTTATTGCTTCATTTATCTTCACGTAACGGACTTGACACGTAAAGATCATTAAACGGTCTCGGGATGGATTTGTTTTTTCTGGAGGTTCCAAAACCCTGCAATGAGCTTTTTGATGAGCATTCTTGGACCGCATGCTGAAAATAGCTTGTCAGACATACCTCCGTGCGCATTCCTGAGTGACCCACAATCATCAGACCCATGTCGGTTGACCCTGCTCACTTATGGTCGTGTTTCATTGTGACTTACTTCGTACCTACTCTTGCTTCATTCGGGCTTAGTAGAATAAATTTCTGATCATCACCGTGAAGCGGTCCACCGCAATTGACGCGTCCGATAAGTTATGCTGTGTGATGAGCATCGACATATTGAATATTCTCGGCGTGCTGTGAATGAGTGTTGTCGCATCAATATTCAACAAAATTTCTGCGATGAGCCCGCGATCTGTCTGCCCCTCAATGAGTCTGATAGAAAATCGTGTTCAAGGTCGTTTCGGCCAGGTATTGTTCTTAAGTATGAATATCATTCATATTATTTTCAGCCAATGATGCATCGATTTTGAGTTTTGCTGTTCGGAAACGGCCCATTCGTTTCGAATTATTCGATGGCGTCACCGAAATTCGAAATCGATGGGCTCACGGGGTCATGCTGATCGTGAGGGGAAAATCTCGATCTATCGACAGGCTGGCCGCTGCTACGGATAGGATTTCCGCGATGCGCTCCCCCTCTAGCATCGATGCTCAGTGGAGAATAGGGGACTCGTTTGTTCAACTGCTTCGCGCGTTCAGCAGCCTCGCGTCAAAAGCTAAGATGCTGCCGGTCACATCCAAATGGTCAACTCTTTAGCAGCGATGAACCAGCGATTTAATGTACGCTTGATCGAATCGCCGTCGATCCTCGACGGTTTCCGCGGAAAGTAGACCGAGTTCAATTGAAGGTGATCCATCAAACTCAACCTGAATCACATACGGCGGAGATATCGGACAAGATGAAGAACCATCGACGACCTTGTTTGAATGATACGTGTCTCACGGGATTTGATACGACTGAAAGTTTCACAAGTCGAGCAATTTATCCGTTGTAAACTGAGAGACGACGCGAAAGCGTGACTCCACGCGCTTCTGAGTCGTAAGCCACGCGCCCCGGATCAAAAAGACTCTTTTGTCCCTTGGCCGGCTTCAAGCCAATATTTGACATCGCAATTGACAGCCCAGGGAAACTAGGGCTCCTTTGAGTCACTTTTCCCAAGATACGAGTGCTTTTGATGAGGTGCGTAGGCCATCATTGGAAAAAAGTGTTCGATTCTTCCTACCGCTGTTGGCCTAGAAGATCATCGAATACTTACTTTCGCGGATTGCCATCGAATCTTCAAGACTGCCCGACCTTGCAATCATCTGCTAGGATGTTGGTCATCGATTTCGCTTGTTGTATGAGTTCAAGGTACGGAAGTGAGAGCCAATTACATGAGGAATGATATATCCGTTCAGAATATGTATAGAGGAATGAGTCTAGAGAAACGATCTTCGGATCCAAATTGACAGACTGTAGGATTCGCCGAAGCGCTCATTCGTTTTGCATTTTTGTCTCGTCCAGGTTGAGACAGTCGAAGCGCGATTTCTCCGAGCTCTCCGGTAGAATGGGAACTTCATGCTCTGGGACTCCGCTTCTTCCCCGACAGATTAGCACGAGGGTATTACCAGACGATGTGCGATACGGAACTCGGGCGTACGGAACTCAGGGCAAATATCAATCTTTGGTTGCTGCGTCATCATTCATTATGGATAGGTACATTTTGTGAAGAGGGTGCTTCGGGTGCACCCGAACACATTCAACCGACGGATAAACCTGTTGATCGGGGGCCTCCGCTTTGTCGAGGGGAGCCGGAACCAGGAGGAATGATTGGAGACGACGACAGCAGCCTGCACCAACAACATTGCACACGTCGAGAACAAATCGGTGAGATCGACCATAACTTATTCCGCTCGCCGGCGATGACGAACGATGCTTGGGCGAAGCGACCCCCGATTGAACCGTGACGTGATAGTCAAATCCTCAACGCACGAGTGTCACCACGTAATCTGTCAGACGAGCGGCTCCTCAGGAACATGCGTTTGTGGTAACTGTAATAACCCCAGTTATTTGTATCATTCGAAAGCTTGCATATATCAATAATAATTATGAGCCAGCTGCAGTGGCTTTCCAATGTCCCGAAGAGCGGCCCTTGACCATCAGATGTGCGCAAAGAAGCGCTTATGGACTGATCCGCTCCTACCTAATTCGGGAAAGGGGATTCGTAATGAAAAACTCTATGAAAGTCTATGGGGGGAATTGCTGTCCAGTTGTGGAGCTCTATGTCAATGATATTGTCCCATATTTTGTACCTGTTTAATTAGTGGTACTTCTCTGTCATTTGCCCACTTTCATTGATTTATTATCCTTCACTCACTATGAGAATGAACAATTTGACGATTGTCAACGTGTAAATATTGAGATTGGTTAATTTATGTATCAGCACGCATCAGCTGTACTGTGATGATACACACTTTCCATGTGTATCAGTTTCCGTATATATTACTCCCCAGTACATATTATCGTTGGAGTTTGGCACGTTGAGGTGCGACAACCGCTATCCGAGCTATTTGGAAACATTGCGATAGTCCGTCTCCATAGAATACTGATATCTGTAATATTTCAGCGAAATGAATTACCTTAGGACGGCGAATCCTCCTGGAGCCAAGGAGTCCGTGCGACTGCTTTCTCCATATATCGAATTTGAACGCCCAGAATGATTCTGGTGTCTTTCCATCGGGAGGAGCAAACCTGACAATCGATCTCGTCCATCCTTCACTTTCTTTGCCAACTTTCCGTCTCCGGGTGTCCCAGTGTAGCTCAGTGTCTCGCATGGAGGGTTGATACGGGATTTCATATGACGGAGTCGGGTTTTGAATGTGGATTTCCGCGGATAGCTGAAGGCTCAAAATGATGCCTTGCCACAGCATGGTGGATCAATATTTTTTGCTCAGATCATCCAGTGCTGACAGAGGAGACGGTGAGCATATATCGCCATCCGCCTCCGGGAAGCCGGGCGCTAGAATGGGACGATGTCCCGGAAGTTCCTCCTTGATTTCGAAAACCTCCTTCCCGGGAATCTCCTTCCCTGCCGGAATGAGATGTTCCTAGGTCTGCCTAGTCTCACGGCGCGGTACGATGGTCGTTCATCCTAAATCGAAGGTGAAGTTGTCGGTTTTTGTCTTCCGGCTTTCATAACAAGATATAGACCGCGTCGCTCGCTTCAACGGGACCGTAGGTCGCCACCAGTGGAGGTTTCGTGATGTCTCTATAATCTGTAGATGCAACAATCACTAGCTTTCTTAATCATGACTCTGACATAAGCCTATTGAGTGTGTGTAACCTTGGAGGTAGGCCATTCGAGATAGTGGTGGTCACCTTCTCCGTAAGCTATCGACAATCCCGCTCCCGTTACTCTCTCCTGTTGTAACTCAGACCTGAGCGTAATTGACAATTGATTAAAATCGGGAAAGTGCTTCGAACAATGCGTAGTTTCCCCACGAGAATGAGATTCATTCCGCGTTCACCTCTTACGGGACACTATCCGAATGTAACATCGTATCTCCCTTCCTACGGAGTCACTGCGGGGAGACGTCTCCTGCGATTGAGCGGCACATGGTAATCGCTGATGTCCCAATGGATCGTGAGATATTACGATTCCGAAAAACCAGAATGCGGGTGCATTCACAGAGTGTGGGTATGCGCAGAAAATGGGAATGAGCAGAGGTTCTTCAGTGTATAAACGATTTATTTACAATTGGTGAGCGATGTCGACTTACAAAATGAAAGTAAGAGCAGGAATATACAGCGATTCAACGATAAGCTCCGAAACCTCCTGTTTCACGCAGAACGCACGCGAGTCTAGTTTCACCACCATCCAGAATCCCATCCGGATTCCCATCCTCCTCCGCTGTGCCATCCGTTGTCCCAGCCGCCGTGCCATCCGTGATCCTTCACGACCCAGATCCTGAGGATGGAAGAAAAATAATGAGATTCCCGCGATAATCTACTCGGCGAGTTGTCCGACGAGAATTAGAGCCGTCGTCATAACCCGACAGGACCGGGCCTGATCGACTCCTTTCTCGATGCTCTAAAGAAAATAATGGGGATGAAACTTTTGAAAATCCCGTCTCTCGATGTTTTCTCTGAAGCGACTCGACGGACGTCAGACTCACGGCTCGTGGTGCTTCACAATCCAAATCTTTGGATGGTGGTGATGTTTGGCGAGAGCGGCTCCGAGAACACCTCCAACAGCCCCACCGACGAGGGCTCCTCCAAGGAGAAGCTTCAGCTTCTTCTTCTTGAACTGCGAAGAATCCTGGACGAATACTCCGAGGATGAGCAAAACCGTCAACACCGCGGCTCGGCTGAACTTCATTTTCGAATGCCCTTCACGTTCACTTGTGCCCTCAAACCGAGACTCCGGAGCGCCAACTTTTGCTTCGACGATCCTGTTGGTTCTGAACACACAGCTCACCTCACAGCTTGCGAAGAGTGTGTTGTACGATGCTGTCCAGAATAGCGCCGGGTTATATCAGTTGCCCTCGCGCCCCGGGTCCAGATCTTCTGAAGGCCTTTAGGGCAAGGGATCTGCTCTGAAGGTAGCCTGATGGGCGACAATGTGTGTTCAGCCGTTGGATACAACGGCTTAGATGGCTTGATCTGGTGAACAATACGGCTCATCACTTTCGATTAGACCCAAGAACCAGCGGACCCCCAAGGATTCAGTGTAGAAAACCGATCATGCTCCTTCGCGGGCTAATTTGACTGGCGCGAGTCATATGCACACGAGAATTAAGTACCGATCATCATCGAAGGCTAGAACCCAGAGACTTCTAAGACGATTTTTGCTCCGCCTCATGATTCGCGGGCACGCGGCTTGGATCATACTTAGCTGGTTTAGCAGTTGTAGGCAATAAAACTGCGAGGATTTCCATGGAGCGCTCTGGATTCATGTGCCCGGCGGCTGCGCGCCTTAAGTTTGAGGGCTGCCTGTCTCAGTAGAGGCGGTACTACGGTTTATAAGATCGAGGAGAAACTGTTGTCTCTGCCCGGAGTATCCTTTTTCATCTTTAGTTTTTTTCAGCAAGTCGCCCCTCCCTGCCCGATTCTGCTCCATTGTGTGGAGATATCGTAAACATGTTCAAGTCCGGAGAGCCACGACTCCTCGACGGAATCTAATTGGGCATTTTCGGCTGGGGGATCATGTCCGGAGATATCTCCGAAGACAGATTGCATGGTTACTTTTTAGTTTGTCATTTTACCGTGCTTATACATTTTGTGTGTTGCTCAGTCACCGAGACCTTCTTTATCTCATTTTCGCTGTCAGGCTCCTGGATCTCATTTCGACGAGACTTCACGCCGAGGTCGTGGATGTCAGAAATGAAGTGGTCACAGAATAAGAAACGTTTTTCATGTTCTTCCCCCGTTGCGTGAAAGCGCTCATTCGCGCCACAAGACTGTGATTAGCGTGGGAAAACGGATTGAAGCGGGCTGTCTCGTCTGATGTGATTTTCGGAAGCAACGGGATCACGGTGAAAGCATTTAGCGGCCCGGGATGCTCCAGGCGGACCACTCTCGTGAGCAGCCGGGAAGTTCGACCGTTACGGTGAATCATTCCCAATGTCTAACTCTATCGTCTTTAGCAGGATCGACGTATTCCTGTTCACGATGGCCTTAAGGTGTAATGTCATCGTCAAGAAAGTTGTCTTGATGGAGCCCTTCCTCGAAGCCCCCCGAAACTGGATCAGACGACTGTTTACTTTCTGGGGTCATGGCTGCTCGTTGTCTCTAGTCGGGTCATCTCGTCGCGACAGACTATCTATTTCTGGACTGTCGAACCTCGACGCTTTCGGAATGAAGTTTCGGGAAGACGGAAGGTAGGCCATTCACATGATCACCCTGATCCTTGTATTCCCCACTCTCCGAACTGCCGACCTTCGCGAGATCGGACCCGACTAGGTCGTCAAAAACTCAGGAGATCGCTCGCGAACATCGAATCCCTCTCACAGCGGACATTTGAGCTCAACGAAACAAACTCCGGCTCCCACGACTACAAGGCCGAACATGCGAAGAAGACACTTAGCTTCGGATAAAAGTCCTTTGAATAAAGGAATCGTGGGTCAGCGGTATAAAGGACCGTTGTCGACGAAAATGGCGCGTATCGCGCAGTCATTGGGGTCACAGTGGTGGGCGCTCCCCGATCCGCTGTACGCGGCAGCAGTCTGGTACGCTCGGTCTCTCGCCCTCTTGTCGGCCCCGGTCAGACACTGTTTAAATAGCTGACATTGAAACTACATATTCTGTGAATTGATGAGATTGTAAATAGACCTTCTGGGGTCAAGATTACCTCACGTCCTAAATCACCATCACTGCCCACATCATCGACAAAGGTGGTGGTGGGAGTACTACTACTACGTACAACAGAACCGATCGCATTAATTATTATAAGACCCGACAATACTGTGCGCAAGCCGCTCAATGCCGTCTGACATCTCTCGTGCCATCCCTGCAATCAAACCCTGCGAATGAGCGGCGAGTTTGATAGTTCTGATCAATTATCACGATCAGAATTACGCCGGAATCCGAAGGGCCTTTGAGCTCTCGGTTTCGGAATTCCAAGAGATCAGATTGTGTTCCTGATCTTAGCCATCGCTTGGGCATCCATCTTTGGCACACCAAGGAAAGCGAGCTCTTTGCTCTTCATTCAAGGATATTATGTGCGTGAGGGTGTCCGGCTGACTCCGACCCGAACGAGGGGTTTCTTCCTCTCCCCGAGTCGAAAACGAGCAGGCCATCGGTAGACCTTGATTAAGTTTTATTCCAAGCTTTCGGTTCTCAACTCAAGCGGAGCGATTTTCATGCGTATGACTCCTAGCTCATTTTTTCTTTGTCCCGCCCGTACTCAGTCGCTAGCTCAACGAAAGTTTCTCGGATTAATTAATCGTCAGCCGGCGATGTATGCATTTGAAATGGTCTTCCGTTTTCACTCGGTCGCTCGGTCGTTTGCTCGTTTTCACGCCACGCCGACATGCACTAATTTTATTCGGACCGCTGAATGAGAGCTGAAGGGGTGAAAATGTTCCAACAAGGGGCCAATCAAGCAAAGACTACCGGAGCGGCTTATGATTGTAACAGCAGCCTTAGGCTAATGTGTCAAGATCAGCCGTTCGCCGTCACACTCGCTCATTGCAAACGAGAGCGGGACGACCGCGTCAAAAGAGTGAGTGAATGCATTCTGAGAGATGTGTTCACAGAACAAGGAAGGAAGGAAGGATCTGAAACCATCAATGGCAGCAGTGGTTTACTCGCGAAAACTCAACCCTCTTGGAACGAGGATTTAGGGTTTGATCACCCTCTCGCTGATTGAGTTTCGACTCCGCTGCTCGCCACTCTCTTGTATTAATGCCTTGCAATGAGCTCTGGATTCCACTGATCCGTGTCGAAGAGATGATTTGGAGCGGGTAGCACCGAAAGGATAACTAATTTCTCCGGAAAATCGTGACCGAGCTTCGGAAAAGGCTTGCAGGAAGCGCATTTCATATCTTCAGTGAGGGAGCTAGTAGACATTCGGAATCTGCGTCCAGGATCTGACATTGGGGCCCGTGCCGTACAGTACGGTGAAGTTCGCCGGCTGGCTGCCATGGGATTCTCCATGGAGAAACCGAATCGGACCCCAGAGTTTGACCGTTTTTCGGGCTCAGGGCGCTGTGGGGAGACCGAGCATTGACTGCAGCTCGGGAAGCGAGACACATAGCTAAATGAGTGGATGCTTTTGGCAGAGATGGAATGAGCTTTGTCGAGCGAGGTATTCGAAATAGCGATTCGGACTTCTCCATGTTTGTTTCCAGCGATAGCTGTACCTGCCGCCGACCCTCGTCCTGGGTTTCTGCAACGGTTAAATTCTTCCCCCTTCTGCAGCTGTTGAAGGCTGGGTTCGTACTCGGAATGAGATAACATCCCCCCTCCCTGAGATCCTCGTTCAGGTTCATGCATTCCGATTTTTCGCGGGGGACATTTTTTCGAGCTGTGCTCGTGCAGCATGAGCATCCTCCAGTGCACGCTCGGAATTCGGTTCCATCGCCCCCATTCGAGTCCGATCTAACGAATAGAACAAGGAAAGAATCTCATGCCCACTGACCCCCCATTGCTATATTTTCTGCTCGCTAAGCTGGAAATCGAGATCAGATATTGTAGGTAATCGAAAGGATCAGAGTGGTTCCAAAACCATCAATTTCCGATGCGAGCTCTGATCTTCGGATCGCAGATGACCTATCGATGCTTCATTAACGGCATTGAATACGATACAAATAGTGTTTCGATGATGATCCAGCTGGATCGTCTGGTACGGTACCGGCTCTGCATAGGTACGAAGTGGGGCCGTGAAGGTCGAGTTTCCCGATTCAGATGTGAATGCGGATAATTTAAGGAACGATTTGTTTATTTGGTTTCATTGACAAATTATTTATGGAGCATCGGTTGCGGGATATTCTGGCGTGATGCAGCAGACATCTCTCCTTGATTTCTGGTTGGGCGATATAATTTCTGATATTGGCTCACATCGGGCTCGCTGTCTGCTCTAACTGGGACACAGCCGACTCCCACGAGAGATTGTGGGAGCTCTGCTGACCCAAGAAACGTCACCCATGGAGCGAGGTTTTCACTTGTTCATCTATTTGGAATACATTCAACGGAATCCAGTTTCCCCGGGTCTTCGGAGGGAAACACGATTAGAGCCACCAACAAGGCTCATTGATGCGACAACAACACGCCTGAATCGATCGTTCATGAAGTCAGTCGCTCATTTCGTGGTCTCGACAAGCGGCGGCGGGAGGATCTCGTCAGTCGTCGAAGCACTAAGTAAGCATCAGTAAGCATCGAGGTAGTGAAGCAATCAGCGAACCACTAAGGCTCCGGTAGTTTCAATTTCACCGCTTGTCACGTGTGAGGCGCTCCTTCTCCTCTTTTTTCCTCGTGAAAAGAGGAGGGAGAGGCTGCTCGAGGAGCCACCGACGGAGGACCCGAGCCGGAGAATCGGGGACTCTGTGGCAGCCGCGCGAGCGGAGCGAGGGTCTGGGAAGGGGATAATTGGGCCGTCACCTCCATATGACACTTATTGAACGAAGAAAGAAACGAACCGAGCAGATCTCGCGCGTTCGCTCGCTGGCGGACTTTCCTGCAAGCTCACCCCACCACAAGAATCTTGGCTTATGTAAACTAGATTGATGGCGATCATCATGAAGTGTTCCTCTGGAGGACTAGAGCTGCTGCGGATGATGCGAAACTAGATGTAATCTTGATCGAATATCGGGAGGACTAGTTGAACGGCGGAATGTTCATCGGTTTCCTCACCAGTCCCAATAATAAACGGAGTCGATCACGTTCCTAGAAGCTCGATTATATGCAGATGGATTAATTATCTCGGATTATGCGAGGTGTTAGTTGCTAATTGCAAGATATTCAGAGCCCCAACTATGTAACTGTCTAAATACTTTATTCT